TTCAATATGTCACATATTGACAGTGGCTCATCGATGCCAATGACATAATTACCCAGCTACATTTCCAAAAGAATGCAAAAGCATTGACATATATTTTTCTTTCCTATGACAGCCCGACGGGCAGAGATAGATTTTGGTAACCCGACTGAAAAAATCACTAGCCCGACGTCCCGGGGCTTGACAAATTGGTGACCCTGTGTGAGTTTTTTGGCTGCAAGAGGGAGAAAGGAGAATTGGAAAGGCTCCTCACAGATTTGCTGTCAGATACCAGAACTGCAGACAACTCACGCTCACAGAAGGCCTTCAAAATGAAGGTAAGCAGAGCCTGTGTCATTACCGAAATTTAAATGTGAGCAGTGAGCGCTCAAAGTTTTCGCAGTCAAGCTGATAGAGCATCTATATGATATGATATAAAGCACAAAAAATTGAATTACAAGTTGATTATATAAGATTTAAAAAGGGGTTTGTGCAAGGTTTTAAGGTTAAATAAATAAAAATGAATGACAAATTGAACACGGCAGTAGTGGGTGCATAATTTTCATAGAGCTGTTTACATATTCATAAGTCACATTTGGCATCACTGTTTTATCAGAGCTGCAGAAATGCACTGAGGAACTCGGGAGAAAAAATACGATGAGACATTGCATCTTTTAAATTTTTTAAAACAAAGAAAAAAAAACGTAGAAATTAGTCCACAATAAAAAGTACAAGAAAACTCATGGTGAAATAAATACCTGACAGAAAAAACTGATTCACACACACATCATAAAAAAAAATCCTTATGTTTTAAACAGCTCTGTATATACAAAAAAATAAAAGCAAATAATTAAAGACAAAGCAACATGCTGCTGTTTGTCTTCATGAAAAATTCAGAAACACATATACATGAGACATATCCATACAGATACTTCTGTATAGATTCATCTGTATGCATGTAATAATAATTAATAATAACTATTCATGAAAAAGTACTGAAATCAGTTCACAAGCTGTTAGAGTTTCATACTTTAAGTTACATTCAAATCCATTCAGACAATGGTAATAAAAATAATTTAAAAAAAAGGTTGCATGACACACACTAGAGAAATGCGTCATAAATGTAATTATTCTTACTGTCTGTTCACATGGATGCGTCAGACCAACCCAAGATGTTCACGGAGGAAGTCAAGCTCACACAGAAACTCAATCATCTGTGAACTGGCAGCTTCACCTTTCTTCCTCACAGTGTCGATAACAAAGCGAGCTCTGTCACTTCTGTTTTGTATGACGTCTGCTGCATCCATCTCAGCATCAGTTATCACCTTTTCATCCAGCAGTTTGTCCATCAGACTGCTGAGAACAGGTCCCGATATACTTTTGATGAAGCAGCTCCGTAGAGCTGATAGTCTCTTTATTGGATCAGTGTCCAAAGTATCAGTTTTCCCTCCGCTGGGCAACAGACAAACCTCTCTTTCCCAAACACAGCTGGAGCTGCTCTTGTCTCCCAGACTCAGGTTAATATCCGTGAGGATTTTTTTTAAGACTACCTGAAATGATGGGAAGTAGCTTTCATGGTGCTCCTCATCAAAATCAGCTTCTTTGGGTTGAACTTTAATCAGGTCATGCTCAGGATCAGTGACCAGAGTGTAAACCTGCTTTGGGTGCAGTTTACAGTGAGATGATGTCTCTATGTATCTCTCAGTTTTGTCTGACGTCTTCCTGTTACGCAGAATTTTGCTGAACACAATATTCCGTGGCAGCATGAACACACTGAGGACAGATCTGATATCAGGATCAACTGGGGGTTTGTAGAAGAGCAGAACCAACGCTTGGACTGGGTCAGGGGGAGAGTCTTCATCCTTCACATTACCATAACCAGAAAACCCTGTGATGTTTATAA